CAATCATGTTATAAATCTACCAATATTGCAATAAATCTACCAATCATGTTATAAATCTACTCATGGAATAAATCTACCAATCATGTTATAAATCTACAAAGCAAGTTCCTTTTACAGCCATGGCGATTCGCTTTAAATTCCAAAACACAAGCGACGTCTAAATTCCAAAAGACCACCAAAGAGGCTGGCTATGAGTAATAAATCGGCCAAAATACAACATCTGATACCAAAAGTCTACCAATTAGTTTGGATCTGAGTATTAAATCTACCAAAAAACGATCTCAGATCCCAAAGGTCTACCAAACGAAGATCTCAGTTAGCGGAGTCTGTCTGTAAACCGTACTTATCATCAAATAAACTTCGAGGGTTAGGATCAGACATCCGGGATTCTTCTGCTTCATGTACCTCATCAAAAATCTCAGCTGCGTATTTCATACGAATGAGAGGCATGTTGCTATCTTTCAGCTGGTCCCATTTATGGCACAAAGCCAAACACTCGATGGTCTTCAAAGTAAAGACGCCACAATCACCTGATAACAAGTACCCGATAATTAGTTAAAAGTCTACCAAATAAAAATACCAAATCTACAGAGCTGCATTGCACCTGTCTGTCTGTTTAGTGCCGCTGTTTTATACATGTAGATATGAAACTGCCCCTCCTTCATACCCTTCTTGAGCTCCGGTGGTGCCATATGTTTCAACAACAGCGGAATCATCCTCGCGTAGGGCTTCACAGACTCCTCCACCTCGCCTTTTCTGTATAAATCTGGAATGCAATCAAACACTCGGATATTTTTTTTGGGAATGTCGACCTCAACGGCTACCCAATGTTCGTTGTTCACGTTGTGGGCGATATACACGAAATCAACATCTGTCCCCCATTTCTTGTGTGTAGGCAAGTAATGGTCGTAGTGACCGTTGGCAACGTCCAAATAACCATCACTGAATATCCAACTCTTCTCGTTTGGTAGAAATTTGGTTCGATAGTCGCCACACCAATCTCGACAAAAGATAGGATCAATGAAAGCAACTCTTCCCCCTTTGTAAGGAGATGGATACCACATAGACCGTTGCCGGAACATGTCTAATCCTTTGCACATATGCTGCATTAGGTAATGAAACAAATTTATATAAGTCTACCAACCAGCTTTACAAGTCTACCAAACATAAAAGATACAAATCTACCAAACATAATGACTAAATCTACCATTTGTTACTACATAATATAATACAAGTCTACCAAACATAATGACTAAATCTACCATTTGTTACTACAAGTCTACCAAAGTAATTCTATCATTAAGTTTCCAAAGTCTACCAAACAATTTCCAAAGTCTACCAAACCTTTTGAAACTAAGATCGGGTGACTGATACGACCACATACCTGATCATGCAACCACCCATACTCCTTTCTCGGCCAGCTTTCTTTAGGGGTCATTAGTGTCAGGTAAAATTCTCCTCCTGCATATGGACTCTCCAACTGTTTTTCCCTGAAAAAATGACATAGACATACCAGACTCCGAAGTAAGTCTACCAACATACCTAATAAGTCTACTATATAAAACAATAGGTCTACCAAATCAAACAAGTAAGTCTACCATGGAAATTTAAAACTGACTTACGCTTCAAAAGCTACGTAGCGGGTTAGATTATCCAGTATTCGACTGTCCACCGTTTCAAAAGGATCATACCTCCCAGGAGGGGGACCTGCTGGGTCCATGATGCGTCTCACCACTGAGTTACCAAGGTAGGGTGAAACCTGGGTCGGTGCAAGGCTGCGTCCCCTTTTTTCCTTCTCAGCAGGTGGATTTTTTGCATGTTCCACCAGCTTTTCTAAGCGTTTCTTCATAGCTTCAATCGCTGAGTCGTCTTCGTCTTGCAGGGAAGGGATCTGTACTCGTCTAGACTGTAGTGGGCGTGAAACGTCGCTTATATTGATTATCTGGCTTTCTTCGTTTTTGTCTTTTAAATCAGCTTTTGACTTTGTGCCTGATTTATTCTTCTCTTTAGGATCAGCAGGTTCTTTTTTCACTTTGGTTACAGTCTTTCCTCTCGACGCTGGGGTTCTAACAACTCTTGCAACAGGAAAACCTGGCTCTGATGTTTCCTGCATCTCCATCATCCACGACTGCTTGGCATGTATAGTAATTTCACATAAGTCAAACCAAATAATAACATAACTAAATCTACCTAAAAATCTACCGAATTAATTATAAATCTACCTAATATAAATATCACTGCCAAAAATCTACCACATAAAGTTAGTCTTGTATTCCAAGAAAACATTAAAAGTCTACTATGCAGGAAAAGTTTAAAAAAAAACCATCAATACAA